TTACCATGTACTAAAGTTAAAATGGAAAAAAGATCTAAATATAAAAACAAAAGTACTACTCATTTTCTGGAAGACAAAGTAGGTAGAAATCTGAAGAGGTAGGTATTATGATAGATAGAGAACTCATGAACAAAAATCAAACTTCACCAGATGCTTCCCAGAATCAATAATTGTGTTCTTGTCTTATTAAAAAGTTTTGCATGTTGAAATAAATTTTCAGCAGAGTAAAGAGGAAACCCATGTGGTTTGAAAAATCTTAGTCAACTGTCTCTCAAAGAACTTCAGTCCAGAACATATAAAGTATTTTGAAATTTCAGTACCCTGATATTCAAATACCCAATCCTAAAATGGGCATCTGAGATGAATACACGTTTCTCTGATAAAGAAATATGAAAGGCAAATAAATTCATGAAAAAATGTTTGTCACCATTGTTCATTAGACAAATGCACATTCAAACCACACTGAGGTTGCATCTCACTGCAGAAAGAATGGCCAGGATCCAGAAAACTACAATCAACAAATCTTTGAGAGTCTGTGCCTAAAAAGGAACTCTCTGGCACTGTTGGTGCAAGAGATGGGGCACCCACTATGGGGTTCAGTCTAGAGGTGCCCCTAAAAGCTGGAATGAGAAGTCACATTTTGCCCTGCTATTCCACTTCTGGGCACATTTCCAGAAGAATTGAAAACTTAAGATTTGGAGACAACGTAAATGCCCATCTACTGAGGAATGGATAAAAAAGATGTGGTAAGTTTATACAAGCAGTACTACTCAGCTATGAAGAATGGTAACACTGAGATATTTATAGGTAAACAAATGCAATTTGACACCATACTCACACATGAAACAAATCAAACTCACATGTGTAAATACTGCATTTTCTCTGTAGTGTAAGAAATGGTAAGAGTATATAAGATATAAAATCCTCAATCAATCCAGTGATAGGGAAAGTATCTGCTCAAAGGAGAAAAAAAGAATATCTCAGAGAAAAGGAGGAAAAGGAAATAGGATGGGAAAATAAAAAAAAAATCTACGTTTGTGTAAACATGCAGGATAGTTAAGATGATTGTGATAAAAATTCTATTAGTACTTGGAACAGAACAGTTAACATTAATGGGTATGGAACAATTTGGCATGTTTCGGTCTGGTGATCTGAGGAACTCTTGTGAAGATCACGATACAAAGTAACAACCCTGATTATGCTCGTCTTACCTTGTTTCGCAGGCCTATATAGTCATTGTTTTGGGTACTTAGCTATCGTCATTCATTTGCGTTTTTTGTTTCTTGTTTTTCTAGTAATCTGTTTTGTTTTGTTTGGTTTGCTTTGGTTTGGTTTTTTCCTGCTAATACAGAAAGGATAGGTATATATGTATAGGCTTATACATGCCCAAAATTTCTCCTAAACAGTTTAAGAGAATCAATTATGTTATGCATGATAGGATGAACAGATGCTTTGAAGAAAAAGAGACATTATGGTATCCATTGGTGATCACATATCATCATGATGTGAAATCCAGTAATGCTTTTATTCTTTGTTCAGAGTAGTTTTAGTCTGTTTTCTATTATTGAATTTCAACATACCTGAAGGGCTGGATGGCTCTATTTTGAAGAGAACAAGAGACATTATTGCAGTCATTGTTGATATTCTTTTCAGCTGATTTTAGAGACTTGTAATGCCTAGATTACTCTGTTTCTATCTGTTTTATACTACATTGATTTGTGTGAATTCATTGTGATTGAAGATCTGGATAACAATTTAGAAGGAAACAAGAGAAATGCTAGCCACAGTAGATCTCCAATTGTTTTGCATTGAAATCTATGTCACTTACATTGTTTTCTTCTGATCTGCTTTGTTCTGATTTGTTAAGTTTTATTTGTCCCATTTTAAAAGAAAATAATAATAATAAATTGTGGTGTATACGTACAATGGTATGTTATTTGGCCATCAAGAGAATCAAATCAAGTATTTGCAAAAAAAGGATGAAACTGAAGGCGATCAAGTTAAATGAAATTTATGTTTCAGAAAGACAAATATTGTATGTTTTTCCTAATGTGTGGAATGTAAAACATGACATGAAAGTAGTAGGTAGACTATTATTTGACCATAGACAGGAAATAAAGAGGAGCAAGAGAAAGTTGTAATCAAGGCACTATTTTGAATGGAAAAAGTTATTAAGTGTGTCATCAAGTTATTATGATGCTGACATGAATTTACTGAGGTAACAATGTGTCCAGTACACTTCATTAGGTGAAAAATCAGGGTACAAAATCCTATGCAGGAACATGATAGATTGTTTTATTTTCAAAAATGCATTAATACAGAAATATGAAATCTTTGAGAATAGCATTCACTAACTCTTTAATGACTCTGAGAATTAGATGCTGAAAACATTTTCTGTTTGGTTAAAAGTATTTCTGACTTGTGCTATTATAAAACACTTTAAGCAGAAGGAGTCAAATTTGCTGTGTGTGAGGTGATTGTAGCAGTGGTTCATAGTGCCCAGCTATATCAAAACATGATGCTCTGCAACTTAAGTAAATTTGATTTTGTCAATTATATTCAATCAAATGAATAAAAATTAATGTATCTTCTCAAGGAATTAAACTGATAGTCCTCATGGAAGGACTGTACATGTCCTTCTAATGCTATTTTCTTAAAAATCAGTATTTTCTGTTACCTTTCCACCTATACTGGTATTCTGTGTGTACTTCTATTTTCATTCTCCTTTCAATTTTTGCAACATTTTACATATAACATGTGTTTATATTTTGCTTTTATCCCCACTCTGATTATCTTGGGCTTTTACTGATTTATTAATTCTTCTGAATTATGTTTTATATAGATATTGATATGATTATTTTTACATGCACTCTTACTTTACTTGTATCAACTGTTCTATAAATCTTCACTGGCTTGTTTGTTCCTTTGGGCTTATGTTTGTTTTAGAGACCCTTTTTAATATTACAGCAAACTCTTTAATTTTTAAACAGCAATTTTAGGTTTAAAGAAACCTGGATAGGTAAATACAGAGATTTCCCCCAAATCCCTGATCCCACACATGTGTAATCTCACTCATTACCAACATTTTCCCCTGGTGAAACATTTGTGACAACAGACAATAATACAGCACAGTAATTCTAATATTGTGAGAACATCCTGCAAACCGAAATGAAAGTGCGGGCACAGGAGCACACACATACAGCACTACACACAGCATACACTGAGTTCTCAGCATAAAGATCATACTTTCAGTACTGCTTAATATTATCAGAAATTAGTAATAGTTTGAATAATAACATATTAGTTAGATGGAGCAATGATGTATCCATATAATATAGTATTATAAACGTGATGCAGGATTTTTAGGAGCCCTAGGAAAAATGAGGCTAACACATTAAGCAGTTATTTCATCCCTCATTCTCCTCACTAATTATAAGGAAAATAATTTAACTTCATAGGCTGGCAATGATTTATCAAAATCAAGTACTTTAAATAGGCTGCATGTGAATAAACATCTATCCAAACTTATCAGTTACCAACGAGAAATACATATGGTAAGTGCAAATTGAAAGGATACAATAAGCTAGCCAACCTATTTCACTTGCATATCCTCAGAAGACTGGGACTAATATGTAAATGATACTCCTGAGAGCATTGTATGCACTAAGGGGAAAGTGAGTAACCCGCCAGGAGACAAAAGGGAAATTACTGAAATAAATGTGTTCAAAAGCTACCTGTAAGGGACAAAAGGAAAGCAGTCACCTGAAATGATGATAGAAGTTACTACAACATGATATCCATTTATGATTAAGCAAGAAAGAAACTTACAAATTCTTGTGTGGAACACGACCTCCTTTATATTTTTCTGTCTCCTCTGCAATGAGGATAAATAAAGCCCAGGCAGGGTGTACATGATTTCACCTAGTTGGGACAGCCAGGAATGCTGGAGAGCTAGGAAGCTGACACATTGCTTATTTCCCCAATGCCCAACTGTTTCTTACGTCCATGGTCTTTCCTAACCCAGTGTGAAAATTTGGACCATTAACAACACAACATTTGTAGACTTTTTGGTCTACAGTATATAAAAAAAATGGTCACGGGTTACACTTTAAATCTACAATATAGCTAATGTATATGAATATCAAAACATTTATATTCTTCTTTTCACTCTTTTAAGGGGGAAATGCAAACATAAATCTAATAGCAACTTTGGCCTCATTTGTGAAACTAATTCATCCATAAATGTTTCACTGAAAGTCGTTGCAATTTAGTTAGTTTTCAAGATGCTTCTCAGAAAATTTTGATATAGTTTTATGCTTTCTCTTTTTCATCCTTGTAAATAGAAGTTCATGAAAGCACTGTGTGTGGTGAGAACAGAGTGTAGAGTTAACACTGCTCTGTCCCCATGCATACAGAGTTCCACTGTCACACAATCTGTGCAAGAGCACTGTACAGTCAAATCGTAAAAAATAGTGCTGAAAATCACAGAAAATTGCTATAAGTGTGTGATCTTGTGGGCCTGATTTTGGGAGACATTTACAGCCTTCAGGTAATGGGTTGAACACACCTTCTTTACAAAGTCTCTCAGCCTAGGACTTCTCCTTCAAATGACCTTGACCTTACCCAGTATCTCTATTCATTTCTTCAGACAGTACTTCCTGAGCATTTCTTTTTCTAGTGGGACTTTTACAATGGACTAATAGGGACTTTTATTCAGGTAGGTCTTCTTCTTTTCTCTTAACTTGTCTGAGAGTGATTCTAAGAGGTCAGTATTTGCTGGTCCCACGACAGTCATAGAGAAAATCAAGCAAGATCTCTGCCCAGAGCTCTCACTTCCATTTCGTGGCTATGCAAACAAAACTCTCATACCTGGTCCAAAAACCCTCATGAGCTCAGGATGCACTCAGAAATAAACTAATTCATTAGCTTCAGCCCTGCTTCACCAATCCCAACATAGCCTCTGCTCCAAGATCATAGGTGCATCCCCAGGTTGTACCTACCTTTAGAATAGCCACAAGACTTTTTTCCAGAAGGACGAAAGCACCCATTTGTTATTCATCAGCAAACAGATATAATGCAGGTGACAGCTGCTGGAGGTTCAAAAGCAAGCTTGTTGTGGGGCCTCCAAACCTTCACAAACTTCAGCCATATGACAGTGTACCAATGCCTTGTTTCTTCACCCAGTGTAATTTGGTTAGCCTGAATCTGTCTGAGAAATCCACATAAATGAAAATTTTTAGGATAACAGCAATTATGATTCTTACACTAAAAATGTTCATGAGCATTGTCACATTTTAAGTTAGTGCAGTAAATAGGGAATTAGAAAGACTGGGTAGATATTCTGGGCTGAAGGTTCCCAAATGTGTACTCACTGTGAGATGCAGGCATACAGGGAGAAAAACCAAAAAAAAAAAAAAAATGAGCAGTCACATGTTATGGTTTACCTCAAAGTGTAGTGTAAACTGAAACACGGAAGTCACACCGTGTAGCATTACGTTTTTAAAAGAACATTAGATTCAAAGAAGCTCACGTAGCACCAGAAAATTGAACAGCAGCCCTAACCCACAAACCGTAAGGGTTAATGCTATATGTTTTCTTTGTAAGCCCACAGTGACCCCTCAAATTTAGACAGTGTTTGATGTACAGACCACACTTGTGCTATGAGATCAACTGTAGACACTGTGTCCGTGTTTTTAGGCCATTGTTTGCTCCAGCATAGCAAGCAAACATCCTCTGTCATCCTGGTGCCCAATGCAGTGTTGTCGAGTTACCCTTGTGCACAAGGACCCCTCATCCAATATACTCAAAAACAACCAATATAAAATTCATTTTCACATTGGGATAATATCATCTTCTAGGTACCTGCCACTTGCTTTCTTTTTGTTCATGGAGTATATGGTAGCAGAATATCTTAATGACTCGGGTCATCTTCATAATAAGGGTGAAGCAGCTGAATTCAAAAATTCTAACTGAGTGAAAAAATGTCTCCTGCAACACAGTTGTTCCAGACTATGCTTGAAAAGGAAAAAATGAAGACATAACAAGAAAGAGAATCATATAGTATCATGTACATGAACACACACAAATATAAATCTCCATGTATGTTCTGCATATGTAATCATATACAAAAGCATATATTGAATATACATACATGTGTGGCAATGCATATGAAAATGTACAGAAACACAGAGAGAAGTATTGCATATAGAAAGTAAGAGATACAGATTCAAAAAGCTGTGTTGACACTAATGATTCCCTTTCTAACTGACATTATAGTTTTAAACATTTTAAAGCCTTTTATACAGCCTATAGTGTCTCTGTCAAATGAGATCATGAAATCCAGAAATAGGCAACTGAGCCATGTAACTGAAACAAAGTCCAGAATTCTAAACCAAAGACTCTTTCAACTGACAGATAAACTCAGAGCTGCATTGAAATCTTTCTAGTGATTTTTACACCCAAATCCCATTGTAACCTGCCAGCATACTAAGATATCCTGCTGCTTCTATTGCAAGAACTGCTACTAAGTAATAGTCACAAATTATTTCAGGATAGCTATGATGTGCCTTTACCTTACTTCTTCAGTTTTTTATGGCTCAGGTAGCAGTTTACTGCACCATAAAGATCCTTCCTTCAGAAACATTTCATAGCACCCAGGCTGGGAAACCTCTCACAACTAACTAATTCCTCTTCATTTAACCCATTATAAAATATTCTGAAAAATAAAGCCCTGGTCTTACTGATTCTGTGATGACTAGAACAACAGTGAGATTTCTGGAGAGAAAGAACCTAAAGCAACAATGTGAATTGATACCAGTTCCACTAATTACAGTTCCCATTATGTCCTCAGGAGTTCTTAAGTACCACTTATGATCTGTGCATAAGTTGTTAAGAACTCATAACTGCAAATTCAGAATCTTAATGTTGTAAGGCCAAAGGGACCTGGAGAACAGACACTTTGGAGCTTCAAGGAGAGAGCCAATGCTATGGAGAATTTAGTGTAGTCCAGGAAGACATCTGAGTGTGCCAGGCTACACTGTAAAGTCTCCTCTTGGAAGTTTTGGCAAATGATTTGGCATACAGAATTAATGACAATAAGATAGTAATGGGTTGCTCAGTAAGTCACCCTAGCACTGTGCCACCAATACTACTCTCAGGACGAATTTTTTCATGAATAAGACAAAATGTCCAACACAAATCTGCAAGGGATACAGGTTTATTTAACTCACAATTTGCACAGGTTTCAGTCCATAACTGACCGATTTCCAGGCAGGGTGGCATAACAGAGAGGCATTGCAGAGGGAAAACGGTTGATGTCAGGGAGAAAGCAATAAAACTGAACAAGGGACAACCATGGCACTTTCTATCCCTTGTATTTTATCCAGGTTACACAGAACAGGAATCACTCACACCCTTAATCCAAAACCTTTCATCTTAGAATTGCACAATGAATCAATTTCAGTGTCATGCATTCTAAATCCACACTCCTCTGAAAAAGCCACATTTAAGACTGCATGAGGATTTGGATTAATATTTAGACACATATAATGACAACAATGTTCTCAGTATTGTGCGATACCTAATTTCAAACAGAGCAAACTTTGAAGGGCAGCCTGGAATGGTCCAGGCTGCCTGCTCTTTTTACATATATGCATTAGGTTGTTCTTGAGATTTTAGTTGGGTACAGAAGCCCAGTAGCAGAGGGGTTTGTATTCGTGGTCTGTCACACCAATACAAGATAATGGAAGATACAGCACAATAATTAGCAAGCAGAATTTAGAGATACAATGGTTTCTTTAACATCAATTTTACAATCATATAGGGGAAGTTTCAGTAAATGATTCAGCACATTTCTTACCTACCACAAAATATACATCTGCCCAAATCCTCCATAGATGTGGTGGGAATGTTTACAGAATGAGACCCTGAGAAAAATGAGAAGAGAAGAAGCCATCACTCTAGAAAGACAAAGTATAACCTTTGGGCCCTGTGTAAACAAAATGCTACGGAAAGGCAAATAAACTTTACAATGTGAGGAAAATTTCACATTTACAATGCACCCAATTACTGGTTTTGAGCAAAGAATTACAGAGAATGAAAAGGAATAATAAAGTGTCACCCACTCACAAGAAAAAAAAATGAAGTATATTTAAAACATTTTGAACATCTTAGGCATTGGCTAGACTAACAAAAGGTTTTAAATCCGCCCAATTTAAAATGCTCAAAACACTGAAGTGAACTCACAAATAACTAAATGAAACCAGACATGATGTACAAAAAAGTAAAGAATACTCATAAATAAAAAAAAATATTTATTTCTGGAGCTTAAAAACATGATAGTTGAAATGAAAAGTTCACCAACAAAGTCCAACTATCTGAACATAGAGAAGAAAGGAACAAGTGAATTTTTCATAAAAATGAAATAAGTCAGTCTTAGAAACAAAAGAAATAAAGAAATATGAACAAAGCCTAAGGGTCCTATAGGACATATTCAATATCATATGTATCATATATATTTTTATCTTATTTCATATATATATATATATATATATCAGATATATATAAAGAGAGAGACAATGGAAGTTAAAGATACTTAAGAAAGATACATAATTTCAAAATCAAATACATTTCCATATACGATGGCCCCCAACTTCCCAAATATGATGAAGTATAAAAATACACAATCCCAATAAGCTCAAAATTTCTAAGCAGGTTAAACTCAAAACTCAAAAGGGCACTTACTACAAGGAAACTGTTACAACACAAAGAGAAAACCTTCCAAACAGCAAAACAGAAGCAAATCATCCCAGAAAATGATTCTCAATGAGATTAACAGTTGATATCACATTAGAAACCTTTAGGGCCAAAGGCACTGGGACCATCTCCTTACAGTGCAGAAAGTCCTGTTGGGCAGGATATATACCTTAGTGGCACAGTGCCTGCATGGCAAGTGCAGGGTGTAAATTCAATCCTCGATAACAAGAAAAAAGAAAAAAGAAAGCCGTCAACCAAGTATTCTACATCTAGAGAATCTATCCTTCATCACTCGGCATTAAGTGAGGGGTGGTGGTAGATGCCTGCAGTCACAAGACTCTGGAACTGCTGCAGGAGAAACCTAAGATCTAACCAAAGCAATTAATGAAATCATGCCTCAAAGTAAAAACTAAAGAGAAAGGTAGGATGTAGCTGACTCTAAAGATCCTGGCTTCAATCTCAAGTACCACCAGTAACAAACAGACCAAAAAAAGAATATATCCCAAATTTTTAAATGTGCCAGCTTATAGGAAATGCCAAAGCATTATGGAGAGAACTGATTAGTGAAAAACACATGACATAAAAAACAAGTAGTACAATGTCATAAAAAAACCCTTCATTATAAGTAATCCTTTTAAATGTAAATAGTTTAAACTTTCCAAAGATTTAAAGAATGATTTTAGAAACATGATCCAACCATGCAATATTCAAAATAGACAAGAGCATAGAGAATAAAGATTAGCAATGCTGTGAGCAGGACGATGAGGAAAAGGTTAATGGGGAGCAATCATTTAACATTTATACAACATTTTGCGGTACTAGAAATATTTTGAAATTCCAAATGCACATTTTGAACGCCATAAATTCTACTGAATTACATGCTTGAAAATAGTTACACATGTAACATTTTAACTTCCCCTCAGTTTTAAAAATGAGTCATAAATGTGTTTAGCATCATCCCTCGTTAAATTTTTCAGTGTAAATATTACACAACAAATGTGTTAAGTCATACTTCAAAACGTTAAAGCTAAGTATTAATGAGTGAAGAAAATGAGGAAATTTTAATTGTTTATGCCACTGAGCAAAGATCTGGAAGATTTTAATTATTTACACGTATGTTGATTTTTTTAGTTTACAACATTAGAAATTTATTGCTTATTCAATTTTTAATAACACTATGAAACAATTATTAAGGTAATACTGAGTAATTGGATATTTTAAATGTGGTTAAAACGTTTAAATTTTAAGATTAATTAAGACTGAGTACAATAGGAAGTAAATTACATTGTATCTACAGCATTGCACTGAGTTAATACGTTCACCGCATAAGTTTAATGGGCTGTATATAAGAGTATGGAAATCAGTACAGTGATTCCTCAGAAAACTAAATGTAAACTATTCAGCTCAGTCATCTCCCTTCTAAACACAGTAGTTTCCCTATCTTCCTAAAGGAGCGAGAAACGTTATTAGAGTAATATACTCATATCCATGTTCATAGTAGCACAATTCATAGCAGCTATAACTTAGAAGCACACTGTTTGTCCAGCAATAGATGCATTTTTAAAAATGTGGCATTTTACAAAATGGAGTATTACTCTTCTATAAGCAGGACAAACATGAGTCATTTGTAGACAATGGTCGTACTTAGGACCACGA